GTTAGGGAGAGTATCCATGCTCTTCACTGGGACTTACAGATGCCCCAGCAGCCCCGCTCCTCTGCCCTCTACACAGAGCTCTGCAAATATTTTAGGTTTTTGTTTGCAACTTCCTTAGTTTTTGCCAAAAAGGCCCTTTTCCAAAGCCTAGCCTCCTCCAGAAACAGCATCCCTATCCCTGTGGTCCACGGCCCACATCTTCTTATCTGATCAACAGTTTTTGGCAGAAAGGAAAAATCTTTCTAGAGCATTTCAGTGCCAGTGCATCATTTTGGCCCAAGTTTGAGGTAGTGCTTTGGAGTTGGCAAAGTTTCCTAATTTACTGCTGTTAAATTTTATCCAACTTTAGGAATATTATGTGGATGTGGCCAATCTCCAGCTATTCTGAATCCATTGCAAATACTTTGCCAGCATGTGTCCAAGTATAATCCAATTTTGATGTTTTTAGTGCTGATACAATTTCCCTATAAGTACCTATAAGGCATGGCATCTGAACTGCAGTGAGCAGGAGTTCAGCTGTTTGGAGCCCAGGTCCCAGCAGATGAGACCTTTATTCCTTTGGGTCCCTCTCTGTCCTAGAGGTGGAAAGCCCAGACTGGGTCTCTGGTCCCTGCTGATGTTGCATCTCTGACCTGTTGAACATAAAACAGTATTTCATGAGTGAGTGAGGCTCTAGACATTTCCTTGGAATGAGCAGAGCATATGGAGTCATGAGGTGTCTTTTGCTGTTTGACATCAGTACACTTCAGATTGGGGTACTGGTGTTCCAGCTGTGTTAGAAATACAGTAGCTGAATAAAACTGCAGTGAAAGCAGAACTGAAGTTTCAAATGTTTCAGTACTGTGGAGAACTTGAAGAAATAGATATTATCGAAAGGGTGCCTTTGTAGCTTGTTCTTGCTACAAAAACAGGGAGGAAACCAAGCCACCTTCTGTTAAAGTTGGAGTTTCCCCTGGCTGGAGCTCCCCTGCAGAGAAGGAAAATAACCCAGCAAGGGAGAGGAGGCTCGCTGTGTTTAGACAGCCTGTCCTGATCTTCATGTGCCTCTCAGGAGGAGGAGTTCCCTAGGAAGGTTTTGATGTCTGGCTAATTACCAAGGCCAATGTCTCCCTCCTTTAGGAGGATATGGTTCGGGGCAGTAGCTGTGGCACTCTAATCAAAGAGGAGATGGTTTCCTCAGTGTTTTCATTTTTAATTTGTTGCCTTCTCCCCAGATTGTTGTCATGATGGGTAAATACATAGTGTTAAACGCTGTCCTTAGGCAGCAATGAGGACTCCATTGTGGGAAACAGGAATCTGGATGTTACTAATGTTGCAGAGTTATGTGTGACCCATTTTGGTTGCAGAAACGATCAGGTCAACAGCATCCTATCTTGTGGTCCAGCTCATCCAAGTATGCATCAGTGATGTAAATTGTGATATCCATTGCTATAAGCAGCTGGCAAACCAAAAAGAGAAATGAAAATATTTCTAACCTCTGTTTCAGCAAATACACTTTTTTTTTTTCCTATTGACACTGGCATCCATAACTATTAACAAGACTTCCTGTTGGCAGTATCATATCGAAAGCAAAAGTGATGTATCGGTCAGTGTGTTCATCTTGCTTCAGGAGGAGAATTGATGAGGTGATTCTATCACTGAAGAGCCCCACCCTATTCTGTGCATTCAGAATTACAAGTATTATACCACTGATTGATCATGAGACATTTTACAGGCAAAATTCATGGCTAGTGTAAGCAGGCAGGAAAGTGTCAGTTCAATTTACTTGAACTCATTAACGTCAGCAATTAGTTGCTTTTTTGGTTCTTCTGTGCCACATTTTTTGACTAACTGACAGAACTAGTTTAAGGAATGTTTAACAATATTTGATTTAAATACAAGAAAATTAATAAGTTGAGGGGGAATGTTTTTAAATGGACAGAGGGCAGGTTTGTATTAGATATCAGGAAAAAATTCTTCATTGTGAGGATAGTGAGGTACTGGCACGGGTTGCCCAGAGAAGCTGTGGCTGCCTCATCTCTGGAAGTGTTCAAGGCCACGTTGGATATGTCTCTGAGTAACCTGGGCTAATGGAATGTGTCCCTGCCCATGGCAGGGGATTTGATATGAGCTGGTCTTTAAGGTCCCTTCCAACCCAAACCATTCTGTGATCCTACAAAAACTGCCATCTGGCAGTACAGTGAGAGCAAAATTAATGCTGCATCCTTAACAACCCTTTCCATTTGAATCCAGAGACATTATGAAGCAAGAGCAGGGAGCAGGACTTCAGCAGCTCTGTGTTCTGTGTTGCACTGCCCAAAGGTAGGTGCCCCATGTGATGACAGGAGGCTCTGCTGACCGGGGGGTACCACAGCTTAGCTCATCTGATGATTTCATGGCTGGCACTGTTATTATACTGCACTGTCATATCTGAAGAAACTTTAAAACTTGTGGACATTTCAGGTTATCTTTTTTAGAAACTGAGACACAGAAATGGTTTTTGTGGAGGTGCCCATCAGCTCAGAGTACCACAGACCTCGTCTCCTGAGTTTCATCTTAGTGTGCTACCAAGTGATATTGCTATTAAAAAACATGCTCTTTCATGTATTTATGCATTCCTTTGGGTATTTCAGGTCTCAGGAGGATCCAAATCTCCATTTTCCTCAGTTAAGAAATAGGAGAACCACATATGAGGTGACAGCCTTATTTATTCTTCCACCATGACCCTTTAAAAGAGAAAGAAGAAGAAGCCGATACAGAAAAAAACCCCAAAACACTCAAACAAAAGCCTCCAAACTGGGTAGAATTTTTAAAAAAGCCAATCCTGTGCTTGCTTTTCCTTTTATAGACCACTTTCCAAACTAACACAAGGATCACTGTATTACAAGGCATGGATTAACAAAGAAAGGTTCTCTAAAGGAGACCTATTGGAGTTATCTTTAATATTAAAAGCAGAGTGTTTGTTTTCTTTAATATGGAGGGCAGCACCAATAAAAACACCAGTGAAAGAGGCCAGTATTGCTAGATCACATGTCTGCTTTTATCTCACAGTGGAGTTATAGTAGAACGATTTTTGCTTGGAAACTTGAAAGCTGGACTGCATCCTTTCATGCTGAAATCATATCTCCTGCGAGGATTATTGGAGGATATAATGTTTCCTTCAGCTTCTTATTTTCTCCACTCCTGAACTTGGACTCCTGACCTCAACTTTTCTCTGGTTATGACCAAGTATTGGCCTTCAATTGAATAGCTGAGCTTTTTACAATCAGATCAGCTCCCGCTCTTGTAATTTCAGACTCATTTTGTGACATTGATATTGTAGATCTTAATTAAAAGCCAAACATTTTATATCTTGGGTAATGACCATACAGGAACTGCCAGGTTTTTCTCCCATGTGCATAACCATCCAAAGCATTCAATATGTGTGACTGGAGTCAGAGGAGTTGTGCACGGTTTGCACGGGGCCCCCTTTTGCTCTTTGTGTCCCTCCTGCAGCCCAGCTCTGCACCTGTGCTGGGCTCTGGGCAGTCACAAAGACTGGTCCATGAATGGCAGGTAATTCAGGGTTCATGGTAGCTGAGTCTGGAGCCTCTCATTAGCTGAACAGCTAATCAGGCAGAAATCTGTGGGGCTCTGCAGTTAATTACAGGGCAGGGTTAGATGGTGGGTACTAAAAATATCCATTTCTTGGCTATGCCGCTGTCCCCTGCTAGCACCAGTTGGGGCTAACTGCACTGGATTATCTGCACAGATAAGGTTAGATGTACTATTCAGCAGAGTACAGAATTTGGGAAGCCTTCTGTTCGTGGGACTCATGATTTTTTTTAATTGTTCTTTATTAATTGGATATAATGTGCCTTGTGCTTTCTCTCACTGAAGAGAAAAAGAATTGGATTTTGGTTGTGCAGCTACACTGTCAGCTTGAGTGTACAGCTATTAATGTTGTAGCCATCAAATTTGAATGTCTTTAAATGTTTGAGGCACCAAAAAGAATGTTGGGATATGGTCTTGAAATCATACAGCTCTGAGCTTGATACAGTAATTTGTTATCACTGTAACAATTTCTTCATGGACATTCCTTAGTTGTGTGAGCATGAAAATAAGGAAAACCAGGTACTTCTGTTGTATTGTCATATAAAAACTTGGCCTTTTGTAATAAGCCAGAGCCTTTCCATACATAAATTACTTTCTGGTGAGAGTGGGACTTTCAGAGTATTTTTCAGAAACATAAATTGAGAGAAAGTTACTTAATGGAGTCTTTTAAGTTGGTTAAACTATTTTCCAAAACACAAAATATTCCTGAAGAAATGGGACTGCTAGTGAAAGTTCTGCCTCTGAATATAGCAGGCTTTATCTTCACTCTGAGTGAAGCCAATGGCTGAAGCGTGTCTGGTATAAATAGAAAAGGAATCAGTACCTATCAAAGAGAATCAGGTTGCACATTTGCCAATATTTGAATTGTCAGCACAGATGAGGACAGTTTAAGAGGTTTTCACAGACACAAATTAGGTATTTGGAAAATAATAATATGCAAAAAGGGATGTGTTTTGCGAAGCTGTTTATGCCTTTTGATTGACACCTCAGGGTAAACCTTTTACTATAGACTAGCCATCCTCTTAGGCTTAGAAGTTCATAGGAGGAATTACCTTCCCTAATACACTTGTTTTGTCAGTGTAACCTTCTAGCAGTAGTGAAAGTACAATAAATGGGCCTGTAATTCACTGTGTCATGAACAACTTACTTATGAAACAAACCTAACATAGAATGTAAAACACTTCAAGCACTAAAAGGAGGCATTACCCATTGCTAATTAAACCTGAACTTGCAGATATGGCATTCCTTTCAGTAGAAATGTAGGAAACACTGTCCCTTAGTGGTGGTGAGGAAGTATTGCTTAGGAAATAGCTGCACAATTACTTGTGCACGTCGTGGTGAATGTCTTTGTTGCTAGCAATAAATAGCAGCCCAGAGAGTGCAAAGCCTTGAGTTATGTCCTAACATTGTACATTTAACTAATGGAGTCTGGAAAAAGAAGGCCAGCAGTACTCAGGGACTGTTTATTTTCAGAACAGGCTGAAAAGTACAGAATTTGATCCCAACATAGTTTGTACCCCAGTGAATGCCTCACTTTTACACCAGTGCTGCTGAACTCACAGTGTGACACCCTCATACTGTAAGAAAATAACACCTTCAGTTCATACTGCTGAAAAAAACCTGGAGCGTGTTTGGGCAGGTGTGTCACAGGCACAAAAAAACATACAATTTTTCCTCTTGGTACCCAGGTTTCCTCACTGCCTTTGGGAGAAGACATTCCTGGGCTTCATGCACTGCTCTGGAGAGTGCCGGAAAGATGCTTCTTTTCCTCTATGCTGCCATGGTCTGTGGATAGTCTGAGGGTTCAGTCTCCAGGGCTGTGTAGTTAGCCTGCAAGAAACTCACTATTAAAAATTTTTTACATTTATCTGTTCAGCCTAACAGATGCAATCGCTTTGTGAGGATAGTAAGACTATTTACACTTTTATTTGTGCAGCTCCTTTTAGGTCTTTTTAAAATCATTTGGCGAATACACTATTTTTGCCAGTAGTGTTATTTTTTTTGTCTCAACCCTGTTGCATGATAACTGATTGTCAACAGTATGAATGAAAGGGCATTTGGTGGGAATGCTGCCAGAGTGTGGTGATGTAATGTGCCTTTTTTGTACCTGCTCCGGGAGGATCCCAAGGTCTGACACTTCTCCATTACCCTGGCACGGCACGTAGAGACAGTGTAAGCCAAGGACCTGGGAGGCTTGATGACGATTGTCTGGGTTGTATCTGCTTAGACAGTAGGATTTTGGGGGATTTGTCTCTTAAATCCTGGATATACAGGATTCCGTCTGTTGGGATATATTTGGTGAAGCTGCGCTGCCTCCTGAGAATTTTTCCAGCATAGAGACAGGTCAATGTGCTTGCAGGAAGAACAGGCTCACAATGTGTAACTATAACAATCATGATTAATTTTCCTCTGCCACTCTCTAAAGGCAGAAGGGAAAGAAACGAATCCTTTGAGCAGTGAACTATCTTCTACCTCATCATTGCTTTTAGCCTCATTTCCTGCACTCACAGCTTTCTTCAGTCACAGTGGCATGTTCAGTGTGAAGCTTGCACTCTGAGCTTTGGAATGCCTTCAGCTGAAAACTTGTCCCCAAACCTCCACTGAGACATTTCGGGAGAAGAGCCCAACTTGTCCAAACGTTCACTTGGATGCTTTGTCTGGATCTTTCTGTTTCTTCACTCTTCTGCCCTCCTAAGTGCATTCTTACAAAGCTTTAGAGAGGATTTTCCTTAGGAAATGTCTGTGGGGATCTTCTTTGGAAACTCCTGAATTACTAACCATCAATTTACTCTGCTAAATTAACAAGCAGATGTTTGGCTGCAGCACTGGCCAAAGTAAAAGAAGTGGTAGTGAATAAAAGCACCATTTTTCAATAATAATATCAGTAGCATGACATAAAAATTGCCAAGTTTTGGGAAGAAACAGTCTTCATCATTTTTCTCTTGTAATTACTTCAAACACAGCAGAGTGGTTTTTACTTCAAGTTTGTGGGTTTTAAGACCATTCATTTCCTTTGGGAATTTATCTGTGTTTTATTAACAGCAGATTGTTTTTTCATATTGTAGCATTTATCAGTTGAAATACGTACTTTTTATAGACACTGACAGTATATCATTAATAAAATACTGATAATAACAGTGAGACATCAGTTGCCAAGTTATAGAAGAAAAACTCAAACAAAACCAGGAAAATAGAAGAGGATATTACAAAGGTAACCCAGAGATGATCTCCAGAAGTGACCAGCTATGGCCAACTCCCTCTTTTGTTCTATCATGTATGATGTCCATAGCCACGGTAGTCTCATATTCCATATGTAATGCTCTCCATTTACCATCATACCGAGCCAGGGCTTTGGTTATGGGTTGGGGGACTGATTTTTGGGTACTTTCACGTGAACACTGGTGCCTTTTTAAAGGATAGCGTTGTTGAACACATGTACTTTGGTAGCTCTCTGAGGTCTGTGGGTATCTCTGTAATTTAACTGGAGAGATTTTTCGGGGCTAAACTGTCAAATCTTCTGTGCTGCCTGTTCCTCATACTTGTGCTCTCAGCTTGCAGTCTGGGCACAGAGGTTTACCCAGAGAAAGATCACAGCAGGACTGGACCATAAATCACACTGAGATGGAGTGTGTGCATATATTGAAGAGGAGAGGGAAGGGAGGAAGCTGAACTTGCCTGAACATTTAATGGGAAATACTTGCAAGGTACTTCACTGGGCTACTACAGCTCTCTGGCTAATGCATATTTGTTTTCCTACTTCCCAGACAAACCTGCTTTGCTGGGAGGTCTCAGAATACACATCAACCTGTGAGATGGTGGTTGATACTCTTCCTATATGTTTTGTAGGATTCCCTGATGTATGGAAACCTTTAGCTGTTTCCCATACCTATCACCTGGCTGTACCAAAAGACAAGCATTTGAAACCAACCAAAGCTGGTGTAAATTCACAGTATATTAATGAGTGCTGCTCCATAGCTGCTACGTGACTCCTCAGACACAGAGCGGAGAAGAGGCACCACCCATTGGGATGAAGCAAAACTGCTTCTGTGCCCTGCTCTGCCTGCAAAGCTGTCACTGGATAGCTCAGGGCAGTCTTTAAGGGAACAACTTTGTATAATTATGAGCAGACAAGCACTGGAAGTGCTATCTAGTAATAAGAGCAAGGCTTATGTGCAGATAGGACACCAACATCTTTCCGGTCATTCTAATACTTCCTGCTAGACAATAAGCACATCCCTGTGCCTCTCTGTTCCCTGTGGAGAAAGACTGGGGGTGTTGTAAGGCTTCATTTAAGCACCAGCTGTGAGATGCTTTGAGATCCATGGGATGGAAGAGGGGTAGTGATGATGTGTGTGCTGACATATGAAAATCAGAAATGTATTTTGGGGTGTGAACAGCGATTTCTAATAGTTTGTGTTAGATTGTTAATGGCAATTTGCTTTAATTTACATCATGGATTTGTTTGCATCAGCTTCATGCACAGCCTTTTTCTTTTCCTGTGCAGTTCAGGAATCTGACAGAAGATGGTTGATTTCCTACATTCATACACATTGGAGACGAATTTAAAAAACTTGAAAGTATCAACAGTGCTTCAGTGGTTTCATGAAACTGTCAATTTTTTTCATTGGTTTTATGAAACTGCTGGATTACAACAGATGGATTGTCTTTATATATATTTAGATGGTTCCCATCTCTGTGGTCCTTGTGTGCCTCCCAAGTATTTTAAAACAGAAAAATGCTTTTTCCTTCTCTGCCTTTCCTTCTAGCTAGCCACTAAGAGGAATAGCTTGATTGCTTTATAGGGCTTGGGTTTGTTGGGCTGTGTACTAGTGTTCTCTGCATGTTTTTGTGTGAAGAAATGAAGCTGAGGAGAGAATTTTTGCTTTTGCTTCTGACTGCATTGAGATCCGGGTTATTTGTATCTCCATGAGGCAAAGTAAGTTCCACAGTACAGAAATTCTGCCTGGGAAAGATGAAACTCCCACAGTCTTGTCTTACCCCTTGGTCAATGGTTGCAGTGCTCCAGCAGGAGCCGGCTGTGGAAGATTATGAAGGGCTTTGGATATCAGAAAAGAAGACCAAAGTCTGTACTTAGTAAGAAACCAGGGTGAGCAAAGCACCAGGCTGCTCTCTCTTGCTAAGCAGACATCTGCTGTATTTTAACACCAGCTGTGGTTTATTTCAAAGCGCAGGGAGTTCCAGTAATTAAGCTGCAAGACACAATTTATGCACCAGTGTGTCCAAGTGTGCACTCCTCAGGATGAGGTGCAATCTTCTGGCCAGTCCTGCCTGGAAGAGGGCATTTCTGCTGACGTGGCTGTTCAGCCATCCCCTGGCAGTGTGGAGGCTGCAGACATCCTGAGGCTGTGAGACAGATGCAGCAGCTGACTAAGCAACTGTGTTGCTGTTGGGATGGGAAGGAAATGTTTAACACAAAACTGAGTGCAGAAATGAATCTGCACAGCCCAGAACGGCAGGTCCAAAATGAGCCACTGGACAAAACAGATGTCAGCATCATTGACCATTGCACTGTTTCTACAAGGAAGAAGGGGCAGCACCAGAATTTTACCAGGGTTAAGTTCCACCACGATGAGCAGGTGACTTCTGGGGTCAACAGAGATCTCAGTAAAGAGTGTCCCAGCCATCTCTTCTGAACATGTGCATCATCTGATGTTACTCCTGTAGCAGAGTTTAGAAGAATCTTTTCCAATCCATCTACCACCAGCATCCCCATGACCCGAAACAATTATCAGGAGTTTCAGTTGCTGTGTGTTCAGGCCTGCCCAGGCTAGCCTTAATCTTTCTGATCTGGGCAATCTGAGCTTTGTAAACATGGTGGCATGGATCTTACCAAGCTTGCCAGGGGCTGTGGAGACAGTTTTAGGCTGATGCCACTGAGTCTTCATTACTAGTGGCATGCCTGTGAGCTGGAATCCAGTTAGCTCAGCTGTGCCTGTTCAGTGCTGACTTCCAGCTTTCCTCCTGCCTAGGGACAGGTTGTGGTGTTTTGGTCCATGAGCTCAGCTCTCTTTCACTATCTTTCTCTTCTTGCCTTTTCTGCCACAGGCCATTGGAGCATCCCAGTGTGTTGTGTGACAGGGGAGGTGGATAGGGGAATTCTCTAAGGGAGGGACTGGGTTTCACCACCTCATCTCTACTCCGGTGACTCTTGGCTGGGGGAAGATGTTCTGCAAGTCTGATTCAACATGATGGCACATGCTAAATTAAGAAATTAACATTAGCCTTAGTTAACTGTATGTTCATTTGGTGTCTCTCATTCTGCTCCCCAGTGCAGGCACGGGGCCAGCGGCACTGTTCAGCTCTGAGCCTTCGCTGCTCTGACGTTCTCTGGAACACCTTTGTAGGGCACAAATCCCCACAGTGCCAGAGAGCAGCGCAGCTCTGCAGCAGCACAGGGCAGAAGGCTGGTTTAAAACCAAGCCACTGACGGTGATTCGGGTCTCTGAAGGATGCCCCCGGCGCTGCTCCGGGCTGGGTGCGCGGCTGCTCCGCCGGAGCTCGGGAGGCCTTCGGCAGTAGTGGCCCCGCACCACGGGATGTCACTACGGAGCCAGCAGACACCTTTGCCTTTCGCTGCGTTTTACAGCCTTTCCTTTCGAGCTGTGCCTGCCCGTCACTGAGGGCACCGCTGCCAGCGCTGCCCGCCCGGGGCTCCAGCGGGGCCGCCGAGCGCACCGGGCACCGAGCTCCCTGCGGGCACCGAGCTCCGCCAGCCCGCCCTCACTGCGGTGGAGAAAATCATTCCCCCCTTTTTGATTTCAAAGCAACCTCTGCCTCTCGGGAACGGCACCGCCTCACCCCCACCCCCCCCTTCCCCCCAGGGACCAAGGGACCGGGGCGCCGCTGCGGGCAGCGGGGCCCGGGAGCTCTCCCTGGGCTGCGAGGACCTCCCGCATCCACCCCGGAGCATCGCGGAAGGAGGAGGGGGACGAAAGCGGGTTCACTTCCGCCTGGCTGCAGGAACCACAAGCCCCCAGAATATATTATAATAATAATAATAATAGGAAGGTTCCCCCCCCTCCGCCACCCCCGTTTTTGTCCCCCTGGAAGGAGGGGGTGGAGAGCAGCGCGGCGAGGCTGCCGGCGGCACATCGATGTGCGGCCGGTGAGGCGGCGCGGCCGGACCCAGCTCCCCGCCGGCGCCGCGGCCGCGGCCGGCAGGACGGGCTCAGCCTCCCCGCGGAGAGGCCAGGGAGAAGGTCTGTGCTTTGCGTTCGTACCTGGCGTGGCCGGCACGGGCCTGCCCTGCCCCGGCCGGAGGGGATCGGCGGGCCCCGGCACCCACGGCCCCGGCAACAAAGCCCGGCCGGGGGTCCGTGCGCGGCTGCAGCTGGGAGGGCACCGGGGAGAGCCCCGAGCTGTTGGTCAGTACCCGGCTCTCTTCGGTAGGTCCTGAATCTGTGCCTTCAAACCACCCCGAACCCTCCCCTCTGTGCTGGGGGTTCTGGTTAGTGTGAGGCTCCAGGGAGAATGGGCTCTATGGGAAAGGCTCTGGGATGTGCCTGGCGGCGCTCGTTGGGCCTGGATGCTGCGGGACCCGGTGCTGCGCTGCGGGGCTGTGGCTGCAGGAGGGCACCGGGAGCTCGGCGGGTGCGGGAGGGGGGGGGGAGGCCAAGGGCTCTGCAGGCTCCTCCTGTGAGCCACCGGCGAGACAGGCTGCTTGTCCTTTGGGCAAGATGTGCTCAGTCCCATGCCGGGTGTACCTTCAGTGACTTCCCATTCCAGTATCTTAAGATCAGTTGCTTTTCACATATTAAACATTTTCCCCACTTTACCTTTGTTATTTTTTAATCTTGAGGTTCAACGGGATGGTCTTGAGTGTCTTTGCATGAGGCACTTCCAGACTCACAGGAAGACATTAGTTGGAATGGGGCGCCTTTGGAGCCAATCACATCCTCAGACTCCTTCTATTGCTGGAGACATAATCCATCTGCCTGTCTAGCCTTCCCAGTTTGGATCTGATGCCCTAATTTAAGGGATCACCATCAACTGGCTGAGCAGTTTAAGAGATTGGTAATGGTGAATTTTAGAATACTAGAAATGGAGATGAGCGCTGTGGACTTCTACGGAAACAAGACAGAAGGTTAAATTAGCTGCCTTCCCTTTGGGTCAGGTGCAGAGCTCACCTCTGCCCTGTTACTGTCACTTCAGTGCAGCCTTCAGGTTTTCTCTTTTGGCAGACTCTGGGCACGCTCTGTCCAACAGAGATAGCACTGACATCCTGTAAAAACTTTGTTGCAGCAAAATCCCTAACAGGGGTCCTGGCAGGGATGACTTCTTTGGCCACTGGAGCACCATACCATCTTTTCCACTCTTTTAAAGAAGTAACTGCTCTAATAAACTATTGCACCCCCACGTGTAAATAGTTTTTTTCACAAAGGTGAAACTTGTGGTCTGTATGGCTTCAAGTCATTCTCATTTGAGTGAGAATTGTCAGGATCTTACAAAGACTCAGTTAAGAATAAGTATATCTTAACTGAGAGAATAAATGTGTTGACTGCTGTGATCTCTGGTATATGTTTTAAAAGGTAGAGGGGCTGACAAGCTGAATGGAGAGGGGTATTCCAATAGCTCTTAGGCTGAAAGTACTTCTTAACTAGGGATCATGAATGTGCCGATTATATTTATCTTAATTTGCCTTTTTAAATTTGTGTTTGTTGTCTAAGAGAGCTGAACACCTTGAATTCCAGAGTGCTTTGATATCTCAAACCTGTATACTGGTAGCTGAGCCTTGTACTTCAGAAGTTCTGCCAGAAGCCTGAACAATTTAATATGACTTTAAATGTATAGCAACATATAAGGGAAGTGATTTACTCAAGGCCAGTGAAAGACTGGGGAAAGCACCCTGGCCTCTCACTGCCTTGTGGCTGCACTTCCAATTCCTTTCCTTTCACCCCTTTTTGTCCAGTCACAAGTGTGACAGAGTTGTTTAGGAGCTACTTGCCCTCCTTTCTTAACATTTTAAAGAAACTACAATGACAAGGGAAGAGAAAGTGCAAGTGTTGATCTACATAGACTTCTAGAAATGAAGGTATGGCACAGAAGGATTAAAAAGCAGTGAGATAATGCAGACTGAGAACTGTTTTGTGAAAAAAAGAAAAAACAATGGGTCCATCTGTCATCTTGCTCATTTCCTTCCACGAAGTCTGAAGGTGTGTTGAAAACAATTTAAAAGTTCATGTTCTGAATCATGTGAATTAGGCTCCTGACTTATGTGTGAGGGAGTGAAGTGACTTATCAGTGGTCCTGCAGTCACAGCTTCATGTAGCATCCAGCTGGGGTGTGAGAGTCAGGTGGTTAATTGTAAAGAGTTTTAATAATGGGCTATGGAACACAGTTATCCTTTTGCTCGTAAATCTGCAGAGGAAGGGAAGTAATTTTCTTTGATTCTGCTTCCCTTTGAATAACTTCTGCCTTTCTGCCTGGGATGTGACTAGAATTTGTGGTGGAGTCAGGATGCAACTCCTCCTTGGTTGACTGGAGAGGAAAGTCTTGCTTTTACCTAGTTAGGTGGTTGTGTAGATCTGCTGCTGTAACACAGTTAACAGCTGCAATAGCATGGCTAAGCCTAACTCAACTATGGATCTTTTGTGTAAACTGAGTCTTGGGAAGGTAATCATCACTTCAGAGTTGGTTACGCTCAATGGTGAGCTTGGGATTTATACCACATAAACATTTGCCTTAACACAGAGAAGGCTGAGCAGTGGGTAGGAGTAAAAGTAGTAACATATTAACTTTGAATTATATTGTTCATTGTAAAGATGTCAAGGTAAGTGAGAGGTGCTTTACCTGCTACTGAAATACAGTCCTTAAAGGTAGAGGTAGAGCACAGTGCTGAACAGTATGGTACAGGTAGAGCCATCCCTCTGCCACGAGGCAGCAGTGATCCAGTGATCTACAGGGAAGCATGAGTCTGTGTCTGTTCTCTGATGTAGATCTTTGAATTGCAGAGATTTCATCTTGGTCTTTAAAAATTAAGATAAGACCTCCCCCCAAACCCCTCCCAGCAGTGGCAATGTTATTTGAATGCTGTTGTGTGGATTTCTCTTTTAAACTGGGTTTACTCTCCAGGAGCCAAGGAAATCTGAATATTTATCTGCATTAGCAGAATGGTATTAAATACAAAATCCTTAGCTGCCATGAATATTTATTTGTGTCTTAGCTGGCTTCAGACTGCATCTCTGGCTGATTGCCATCCCTGAAGGTTATTTTCACAGAGGTTTTGGAGTGGACGCTCACACACTGATACACCTCCGGATTTCATGTTCCCTGATATTTCTAAACAGATTGTCAGTAGTTGGCAAACAACTACATGAAAACAGACAGTCAGTGGAGAAAGTATGGGCCCAAAAATACCTTTGGGCATCAATAGATATCACTTTAAATAATCAGATCATAACTATTCCAGTATATGTAAATATTCCCAGTCTCTCACAGTGCTCTCTAAGATTAAGCGAGTGCCTTAAAATTGCCTAGTTGAAGCCTTAGCCCTTCAGATAGAATAAGATGCATTTTGAGATCCTATAGGATTTTTTATTACGATCTTTCTCTCCAGTAATCTCTCTTATAGTGCACCACGTTCTAGAAGGTTTCACTATGGAACCAGTTGTCTGTAGTCACCGGGTCCTGGTCTGTTGAGCATAGCAGGGTATGGATACCATGTCCCTGGACACACTTCATGGTGTGCACTCAGCTCTCCAGAGTGGATGCTGACTGTTGGGGGTATTTCATGAGTAGTGAGTGAGTAGTGCTATTATTCATCTAATATTCATCTAATATCACCATCTTATTCATTATTCATTATTATTCATCTTATCACCAGCAGCCTGTCTCCATTCTTCATCAGTGCAGAGGGTCAGCTTAAGTATTATAGAAAGTTATTAATATTTATTAAAGCCTTAAGGTATGGTTCCAAATATACCCAAGAAAAATCACAGACTAATTTAGGATGGACGTGACCTGTGGAGGTGATCTAGTCCAACCTGCTGCTCAAAGCGGGACCAATTTTTAGCAGGGCTTGGTTCAGTTAAATTAAAAAATATCTCCAAAAATGGAGATCCCACTACCTCTCTGATGCAATTTCAGTGTTTGACCATCCTTATGAAAAAAAAATAATATCTAATCAGAATTCCCAGTGTTTCAGTATGTGTCTTACCTTTCACTGGACATCTCTTGGAAGAGTCTGGTTCCATCTTGGTAGAGGTAGATAGATAGATAGATAGATAGATAGATAGATTAGAGAGAAAGTGAGGATAGAAGAGATGTGAAAAGGTGCTGCACACTGCAGGAAGCCTTACAGGTTTTTTTGTTTTCTGATTTTTTTTCTCTCACTAGACCTTGTTCAGACAGGGGTTTGGAAGCAGTGGTAGTATGAGAGCATATGTAGTGCACTAAGATCCTCGTGTGGTTTGCTCTGATGTGAAGTTAAGATTGGCACAGCTGTAGCCTGGCAATGAACCTGTCTCCTAAATCCTGCTTTCAAATCCAGCATTATGTGACAGACTGCAGGCCATGTTACAGGACTGAGTGAAGGGCTGAATTGATGTGTCTTCGTCCACCTGTGGGGTTTTCCGTAAGCCTCTTGCAGTTTCACGTCATCAACCCCATTTGTTGACATGTTTTTTCCTAAGGGATTAGTTTGATTTTGGAGTGGATCCATCCTGTCATATTTGTATGGTTAAGACATTTCCTTCCCTGACACTGCACTGTTTGACTGTGCCCCAAGCAAAGTCACCGACCAGTGTGTCAGCAGTTTCCCAAACTTCAAACCTTGGACACCATCAGCTGGCAGCATTTTCTGCAAAGCAGCTTGAGACCCTGAGCATCGAACACTGCAGATTTGATAAATTTCTGTGGGAAAGGGAAAGAGAAAGATATGGATCACCTGCGCTGGCCTCGCATGTCACTAGGCCTCCTGAACAAGAGCTTTGGAACAGCATGGAAGCTGTGCCAGGAGTGGTTTAGGTGGGATATTAGGGAAAGGTTCTTCATCCAGGAGATGTTTGAGCACTGGAGCAGGCTCCCCAGGGAAGTGATCACAGCACTAAGCCTGACAGAGTTCAAGAACCATTTGGACAATGTTCTCAGACACATGGTGTGATTAGTGGGGTGTTCTGTGCCGGGCCAGGAGTTGGACTCGATGATCCTTGTGAGTTCCTTTAAACTCAGGCTATTCTGTGATTCTGTGATATATGAACATGTGTCAGCCAAAGCAGATCGGAAATGAAACCATTTAGGAGATAAAAACACCTTTGTAGGTGAAATAATGGATAATGTCCTCTCCTAAATACACAATTTGTGAGTGCTG